TTTGTTGTTGTTTTTGTTGGGGGGGGGGGCGACTGGGGTGGTGTGAGTAATTTTTTGGGGGCCCCGCGCCCTCTCCTAGATACATCACTGAGTACCAGTCATCATTAAGATCAAAGAGAGAAAACTTGTAAAATAATACTTCATATTGAAAATAGGCTTTGACTTTGTTAAATGTATAATCTTTCCTTGAACCTCTAAAACTAGTATTTTTTTTATTATGCTGTAACTGTGTGTACATTTTCCTTATTTATTTTAAACCAGATCGGCTATAGCAAAACCACTCTTTTGTCAATATCCAAATTAATGCTATGTTTATTTAATTATAATTGTAAACTAGTAACATTTTTATGGTATTAAGAAGCAATAGTAAGTTATTCTACAACTGATGTTAATAACCACTGTGAACTCAATGTCGATTTGGTTAAAAAATTATATGCAGATTGTAGGAATTTTCCAATACAATAACATTTTCAAATTCACATACTGGGTATAATTTCATATGCAGTATAACATTCCTTTCTTTCTAAGGTGTTTCATGAATGAATGCAGCGAATTGAAATTTATTACTAACCAGAACGCAGCTAATTTGAATAATTAATGTGGTTGGGCGTTAAAGATAATTGCATTAGTACTGATTATACTAGAGTGAAGTTCACATAAATTGCAATGACGTGTTCGTATGTAAAAAATGATTAATTTGGATTTTGAATAGTAATCGCAAAATAGTTTTTGCAATATACAAAGATGATACTATTTACCTACTTCTAAGTTTTTTTTAGTTTTAAATTGTGTTGAGTAATTAAAAATATACCTCATATTAACAGTGAAATCTACAGAACAAAATTAATTTGCTTGTCGTTATAAACATATATACACATACATATTACATAAATATAACATTTATACGTGTATATAATGTACGTATATATAGGTTAAACATATTATATATACACATATATATATAGTTTAAGTATATATACAAGTATGCATATATATATGTATATATATAGATATATATCTGTAATTATTTGCAATTTTATGTTACGAATAAAGTAATTTATTTAGCAATTCTATAGAAGCATTCCAAAATAAAGTTAAATAATTAATATATTGGAATAAATTAGGTGAATCAACCGTCTAGAAATCTAAACAATTCTATTGATATCGATTAATAATATTTTATTCGTCTGTGGTGACCTAAAGGTCATCAGCGAATATGCTAATGACCTTCAATATAAGATATATTAGTCAACTCACTCTCACTAAAATACATGATGAGATCCTTCAAAATCCCACAAACAAGGAATCTGGGTGAAAAATTATCTCGTCTCTTATCATACATTTCGAATTTCAAGGCATTTTGCACAAAGAACTCATTATATGTATGAAAGTGAAATATCCGGATAACGATTCCAAAACCTAGTATCCAATACAGAACTCACGAAAAAATATTGTTTGTATTTTTATTACGTTCGTAATGTTCGAATGTCTTTAATAATCGAGTGTTCTGTTCAACTTTTTGCTTGTGTTTCATATGGCTGAAACAATAACGGTGCTGATAGGATTATTCCGCTGGTTCCGCAAATAACACAAATCAAGAATATCCATAAGAATATTCTATCAATCACCATAGCAACATACTTCCAATCTTCACTCACCTGAAAATACATAGAAAACAAAACCGATAAATAATATTCATCAATTTTTTCCCAATTAGTAAATCCGTTTTTGAGAATATTCAGTTAATTACAATATTAATCAGAGTTTCCCCAACATTAGGGATTTATCAAATTAATTACATTAGTACTAAGAGTATCATATTAATAACAGTAATTAATGTACGATCACTGATTGACAACAGCATTTTCCAATTAGGACATGGGCTGTATATAAATATACATTTGAAAAGGTCATAAACTTTATGTGATCTTGAAATTATTGTTAATATTAAATTTAGTGCGTGAGGTAAATTTAGTTGCGAAAAAAGTTTTTGAATATGTTAAAAATATTGGAAATATTTATAGCAGTGCTGCTACTATTTTTCCACATTCGTAGATTTTGTAAACTAATGATTTGTCTCATCGCTGTTAATAATAATAATAAAAATAACAATAATAATAATAAATATTAATAATTTGAACATTTATTAAGCGTTTTTACAGACGGTCTTACAGCGTTAATAGAGAAAAGATAATTGATAAAGCTGAGTTTAGAGAGCTTTTGAACTTGTTTTAAATTTGGAGATTGACAAAATTCAGAGTAGTTCGTTCCATAGGGATCATGTGCAGAGGTTTCAATTAATCTAATATACTTTTTATTTTTATGCTATGTCCTCCAAATGACAAGTCCCTTTATAAAATGTACTATTTTCGCGAATCTCACGTATGGTAGCATAGTTATTTTTAGTTGTGAAAAAAAAACCTCGTGGCGTTAAGTCACGATTAAAATTAGAGTCACGAGTTTTTGAAAATAACAATTTATCAAATTCTATCGTCTTCCTAATAATTTGAAATTATTAGTAAGACACGATATACTTTGTGTTACAGTTTAGAACTTACGTTTTCATACTCCTCTTCGTTCTTCAAATGGTTAGCGATAAATTTGACGCCATCTACGGCCTGCTTAAATTCACGGGAGAACTGCCGAGATCCCGTAGAACTCGGACTGTCTTTCCCACTGGAAAGCAAGTCGTCCATCTGTCGCAGGCGACTAAACCCACCGGAATGGTGGTTTTCAAATAAATCCCGCCCATTTGATTTATTAATGTCCTTATCCTTATGAATTATCTCTTTCATTTCGAATCTGTTGAAATTGATCTGTTCTAGCCTTTCCCTCCTATCAAGATATTTCCTAGGTCTTGTCATACAGAGCAATGGCGGTAAAGTTTGTAAAAATAGCTTTTTTACCCACGGTTTCATTGTATGAGTGCTTGGCGCTCTGTAGTGAATATTCAAAACCACTACAGTAATCACGATGGATAACGTCACAAGAACCATTGTAAAGAGAAGATATCGGCCAATAAGTGGGATAAGAAGTGAAGTGGGTGGAATAATATCGGCTATAAGTAATAGAAACACAGTAAGCGCCAGTAGGATGGATATGCACAGGGTAATCTTTTCGCCAGAGTCTGACGGCAAATAGAATACTAATACGGTCAGGAACGAAATCAATACGCATGGGATGATCAAGTTAACGGTATAAAATAACGGTTTTCTTCGTATTTTCAAATCAAACGTAATATCTACGTAAATTTGTTCACAACAAGGGTAACGAATAACCTGTCGCGTAGCCGGTGAGCTAATAATGTCCCATTCACCGCTTTCCCAGTAGTCTTCGAGATCCACCATCCCTGCCGCAGGATTAAGGTCGATAAGTGACCCGTCGTATGTCCATGATCCAAACTTCATGCTACATATTTGTTCATCAAATGGGAAATACCTGACGTTAATTTGGCAAGAACTCTTGTATATCGCAGGGGGAAGCCAGTAGACCAGTCCATTAGGATAGACTAAGCATTTTGTCATAAGCGTCACCTCGTACTGACCGTCTGCACTAAAACGATATAAATAATCAGTTAATTCTAATACAATAATGCATGGTGGCACTGTAGACAATTAAAAAAATATAACGGATATGACAATGAAATTAATAAAGAATATTTATATAGATTATTTATGGGTAAAATAAAATTTACACTGCATTATATGTGTTATTTGTTTTAATATACTTTTTCTAATATCGCAAATTGTAAATGCTTATCTCAAATGGCTTGCCTATAATGACAACAAATGATATTTGAATCTGAATCTAAAAAGATAAAACAGGTAATTAAAAAATAATAATAATAAAATGGCCTACATAGGCCTATACATTTACAGACGTGACACATTGAATTTGTGTTGTCCTAATTGTTTAATTGTCGATAGAGATGCTAAGCAAGTATACTAAAATGTGAAGCGCCGTGCCTTCAGTAATTGAACCTCGCTAGACTGTTTGACTATGAGGTTCACCTATAGATTTTAAAGTCCCTTTTTCAGAAGATGAAATGTAGTTACATAGTTATTATGTTTTGTATTATGTTTTATAAAACATATATTGCATTTAAATTGTTTGCAGAAGGCTAAATTTTAGCTTAAAATATCGTATTATATATATATATATTATATATATAACGATATAGAGATTAACTTTAAACCACCGTGTGGTAATGCTTAGCATATCATATTTTATATATATATATATATATACATTTATATATAT